TGTGCATCGCTCCACACGCGCAGCCTGCGCTTGTAATGACTGGAAACTCGGCCGCGTGCGCTCAGCTGTCAGTGACAGCATTCTGTCGGAGTCTGGCTCAGATCGACGGACGGCGTTCCGTGGCAATCACAACCGGCAACATTATAGCATCTGATAAACAGCGAAATGTAACAATGTTGCTGCTCGGCACGCGGTATGCAAAATTGCTTCCCCCATCCGCCTATTTCAAATTAGTGATGCTAAAACAGTCACATTACACGCACCACAGGCTTTTAAAAAGATTTTTAATGGAAGCAATTATTAGATTCTATAATGACTGGGTGATGCAAATGCAAAAGACATTATTTTTTTTAGTATCAACCGCTATTCGGTCACTTTATATGACCTACCTCCATTACAATCCTCCCAGCACTCTTTCCATCGATGGTGATGTCAAAAAAAACTCTGGGATTGGACATGATGGCAAAAAAAACCCAATTTGTATTAGTAGCTGGTCAGCGAACGAATCCTACAAAATGCCGCAGCTCATCGGGAAGTCGGATGCGTGCGAAAACGGAATATATAGCAGCAGCCTTTTTTTTCAATTGGAACCTATGAAGCCGTGGATCCGCTGAATGACGTGCGCGTTGTCCAATCAGAGGCGGCACGGATGAATAAATTACCGCGGCGTTCAAACACAAGGTTCAGAGGGAGGGCGTTTGATCGACATCCTCATTGGCCCGTTAGAGTAGATAGAAATGACATTACTGCGTTCCATCCAATGAGCAACGAGGGAAGTGTGGGCGTGTACCAGCGGTCTGTAATGGCGCGAGGGCGGTGGCCAGTAGCTGAATTCGCCATTACGGCACAAAATGTTATCACGGATAACGAATGTTTAGAGGGTTAAATTTATTTGTTTCTACATTTCCTAAATTATGGAGTCCTAATTGATATGTCAACACATTAGTGAAAGATACAAAGCGAACCGAGTTACACAAAAAGCTAACAAATCGATTTCAATTGTACATGTTTAATTCAATTGATAGAACTTAGTGATCCACCAACACATGACAGTCAAACATCTTTTTGAACAGTTTGATCAACAAGTGATGCTGGTTTCTCAGTTCCTCATGATCATGGTCACAGATTTTGATGGTGAATTCATTTTATTTTCTCTTTCTAACAAATTCATAAACTCTGCTAGTTAACACAGAAGAGAGATGCATACAGGCCCATCAATTATCTTGATAATTATAATAATTATATAATCAAAGATAAAGTTGTATGATACACAAATGACTTAAAAAAAAAAAAAAAAAAAAAAAATTTTAAGACAAGTTTTAAGACTGAAAGGAATGTCATAGGAGCATAATATCACAAGTAGGCAGTATTTTCTGGAGACATTGCTCTGATTGCCATCTTTGCATCTTGTTTTATGTTACATAATGGTATTTGTGTTTTGTAACTCAAAGCCCAGCATTATCAAAAAAAAAAGACTACTAATCAGTGTTGTATTGAAAACTATGAGAAATTGTTTATTTTTGTTCAAATAAAATAAAATAAAATAAAATATTAGATGACAACGTAAAAACATTTTCAACCAAAGACTCATCTCCCCTCCACGCCGAGAAAGCGAGCGCTGAATGGAAAACGGGGGAGAATGCCTGACATGAGCTCTTGTCATAGTGTTTAAAATGTCCTTTTTTTTTCTCCATATCATGGGGTTGAGAGAAAGTTCACATCTGCGACAATAATAATACTATATCTGTACATATTTCACATGAATCCCAATGTTTTCCTCCTCAATTACGAGTGTGGCTATAAACATTAGTCCATTTCCTGTTGTGACGCTCCCACCCACCCAGATTTGTCAGAGCAAAATCTCACTACGGGAAGGTGTTTGTCCAAAAAAATGTCCTTGTGTGCATTTGTGTTGTCTTACAACTTGTCCACAAGGTGCTACAGGGCTGCTTGTGCTCTGTCTGGTTTCAAAGCTTCACACATTTTGTTGACGAAGAAAACTGAATTTCTACCAAATAACAGCCCAAACTTGCATATTTAAGGGCAAGTGAAATGTGTCCGCAAGTGAGGGTGTGATTTGAGCCGATGACAATCACAGATTCTAGTCCTTTTTCCGTAATGCTAGAACTCCAGACCTCGTGGCCTTAAACCCACAGGAGAGGAAGACCGTTGTTAAAAAGAACATTGAGGGGGAAAGAAACTAACAAGAAGAGAGACGAAAACAGAGAACGGTGTGGCATAAAATTAGTCTGAGTTTGTGCCAAAACACACACCAAGTGGGGCTTGAGGTGTGCGTGTGTGTATTTGTGTGGGTGGCACAAAAGATGACTCTTTGCCTTCAATTTCCTTCGTGTGAAGGCAAATACAGTAACTCTTGAAGGGCTCGGTGTGTGTGCAAAATGTAATAATGCACTTCTTTAATGCTACTGTTTAAGGTCTGACACATTGTGATTGCCTCTATTAGCACGTTTAAAAGGAAAAAGGCTACACTTGAGGTCTTCTTCAAGTAAAGTTCACTTAAGATCAAGTCATTTGTGGTTTAAAACCATGATACGTCACATGGAGCTAGTTTGTGGTCATCTTTGGGCAAAAAAAAGGAAGAAATAAAACAAGTCTGCCTGTTTATTAAGAGAATTACGTTCATCCGTTTGTTTTTCTCAAGTTACAACAGAGACACTTTGGCTTTCCCTGTGTGATTTCTGAAGTGTAGTACTTTAGATCAGCACTGAAGTGAATTCCTCATCTAATTTAGATTTAAAACAGGAGCTGCAATGAAAAAACGAACAATGACCCACCCCACACAATGTCATTTACACCACACGAGTCTGATGTGAGATGAGGCATCTTTCTACAAATGATTCGAGAGAAGAGCGGGAACTCTTTCAAACTGAAATTCACAATAAAATCTCGACAGAGTTCAGAGAAGCAGACGAACAGTAACATTGTCACAGAAGGAAGAAAAAAAAAAAAGAAAGATCTTCGTTGCACCTTCCCATGAGTCACTGCATTCCAGTCTCAGGAGGAAACAGTGCAAAGACGTAATCGGATATCTGTTAGGCTTCCCAAAGCTCCCCTCGATGAGTCGGGAGTGTGAGGGTATAGGGAGGCTGTGTGTTGGACGGCGATGTGTGACTGATGAATGAGCGGGACGGGGGGCTCAGTTGCTCTCAAACAGAGCGAGCAGGTCATCGTTACTGTTGTTGGGAAGGTCAGGAGGACCCAAGTAGGACAGCAACTCATCTGGGTTTGTCAGCTCTGGGAGAAGCTGGAGAACAAATAGGGAAATCCAGAGTTAAGAACCACCCTAAGGCAATATAAACGACACTCAAAACTGTTTATAATGGTAATAATAAATTCAACATAGCTGGCTTTTCATAAGCATGCTGAATTATTTACCTGTAAATTACATTCAAAGCAGAGGTCTGCATTATCGTGGGATTAAATTAGAGATTTGTTGCGCCAGCAAAAGTACGTTTCTGATTTGTAGGGGGAGATGGCCAGTTATTTTTCTATAACACAAAAACAGTTCTGTTTCCAACATTGCTGCGAAGTCTGTGAATCAATTAAATAATCACTAGGCTCAAATAGAATCTTTTGAACTGACTTTTGCAGGAAATCTGTGAATTGCTTTAATCACGGGAGTTAAAGGGATAGTTCACCCAAAAATGAATATGCTGTCATCATTTACTCACCTTCATGTCGTTCCAAACCCATGGGACTTTGGTTAATCTTCTAAACACAAATTAAGAAATTTTAATGAAATCTGGAATGTTTCTTTCTCTGCAGGTAACCAAAACTTAGAAGATCCAAAATGGTCAAAAACACGTCACAAAAACAATTCATATGAATTGAATTGATTAACAGATTGAATTTAGACACTTATTTACAGCTAAGCAATGACTGACACATTCATAGAGCGCATCACATATGGTAAACATGGAAGCTCAAACATGCGTCCATGATGTGCGAAAACCAATGAGATTTGTTATAGTGATGTGATTCACTCTGTATGTGTGTTCATATGTGAACAAAAGCCTAAATGAAATCTTTTCAACATATGAAGTGATTGTATCTCTTTACAAGACTTGGATTAAACAGCTTGAATTACATGGATACAATTTTAAGAAATTTTTTGGATCTTCTAAGTTTTGATTATCTGGACTTTCAATGGAGACACTTTTTTGTTTCGAAGTCATACAGGTTTGGATAGATATGAGGGTGAACTATCTCTTTAAGAGTAGAACACAATAACCAATATTCCAAAATAGTTTATAAGCGCAAATGCATCCCAAAGCAGATGTGGGGCTGGCCGTTACCCAAAAGTGCTTGCGAAATCTTTCCGAAAAGGGGAACGAACAGCTTTAAACATGCATAACTGCATGCATGGGACCTCAATTAAGCAAGAACGGGTGGGAGGAAGATCACTATAAGTTGGTAGTGGGTGTACATAGAGTAAAATCCCACAGAAACAGGCGGTTGTGCTCTGCAGACCTCTAATTTAAAGTGTTGACACCATGGGCAAAAGTCATTGCTTTGATCTGGAATAGATGATTGATTCTGACTTACATCAAGGGCCGGCTCTGAAACGTCACCGGGTCCCCCGGGGCCCCCCAGCCCAAAGCTGTCTGTGTGCATCCGGGGATTCTGGGAGGAGTTGCGGGAGTGCATGGGTCCACCGGGGGCACCCATGTTGGAGTTACCATGGAGAGATTGATGCTGCTGTTGCTGAAGGGGATTGTGGGAAGGCTCCATGCGACTAGAGTGAGGCATCTTTATTTAGGAGGAAAGGTGTAAAGACAAAAAGAGACAGTGAAGCTGGAACACACTGCACAGTAATTTAGTGACTCGTCTTGTGCTTCGTTTAGAGCGGATGAGATGTGGTGGGAAAAGCAGCAGCTGCGAGTGACAGAGAGGAACACTGCGCTGTGCTGTCGCACACAGAGACGTTTGAATAGCTCTTATACGTGACAGCATACGGGAACGACAGAAACCAAGATGCCAGTAAAACACACTTGGATATCCAAGGTGAGGGTCATTTTCAGTACAGTACATGCACATTGTGATTTACACAATTATTTCATTTGAGCTTTTTTGCTAGCTAGCTAGCTAGCTAGTTGGACGGACGGACAGGTAGATCGATAGATAGATAGATAGATAGATAGATAGCAGTGTTAATTTTGACAGGCATTTTTGATTTAGTCTTAGTCTTTATCTTGAGACGAAAATGCTTAAAAGTCTCACATTTTAGTCATTTGAGTCTTTCATAGTTTTAGTCTAGTCTAGTCGACGAAAAGTCATTGCATTTTTGTCAACCTTTAGTCATTACATTTAGTCAAACTGCAGTTACCAACATTTATTTTGGTAGCTATTTTATATGTAGTCTTCAAACAAAAATAGTCATTAATTCTTCTCTCTTTAGACCAAATCAATTAAGCTTATGAGAAATTCGAATCAAGGATTGAATTTGAATTTGAAATGATGAAAATTTTCATTTTTGGGTGAACTATCCTTTTAACAGTTGTGAAAAGGGAGCAACTTATAAAAATAGTTATAGTTGTTCATATATAATATATATAATTTATATTTTTTGAAAAAGAAGCAGAATAAGACAATAAGACAAATACGAAAGAGATACAAATGAAACTCATTTTTCAGATACAGTAGGTTTACTTAACATATTTATTTA